TTTGAGGTTAGGGTCTTGTTTCATATTTTAATTGTGATTGAAGTGTTTCTTTCACCTTTTGTTCATAAGTTGAGCCTCACTTTTAGCTTTGATACCACTGTGACTAAAGCACAAATTCTATTTTCCAGCATTAACAATTGATAATATCATGGTGGATCATATTGGCGTTTTGGTGAGTTGGGGTAAACTTAGTGAGAATATCATCCTTCCAATTCACCAAAACACCAATATGTGAATTTGAATATCAATCAAAATGCTAAAAGAACCAACCTTAGTAAAAACATATGAGAAGTCTACTAGAATGAAACAGTCAACTGGTATTTATTATCTACACTATTGAAAACACTAAATCTAGTGACTAGGGAGAAGGTATGACAAACCAACAATTACTGCATTTTAAATCTTATAAATGGCTGCACATATAATGGCAGTTCAAAAAAGAATTAATGAGTCGACTAGCATAGCACACTTCAGTATTCACAAAAGCGCTCAGGTGTTTATTATAAAGTCTAAAGCATGGGTGATTTAACCAAATACCAACAAGGCTGAGGCAGAACTCAATATCTCGTCCCAACCAACTCGCACCAACTAACCTGCAAACCATGTTCTTCAGCATGGTATTTGTTATCACACCCTCTAGACGTTCACACTTCCACATACTTGTCAAAGAAGCATAGACATCCCGACAGCCTTTGACATCAAGCTGGAGATCTGCCACATAAAAGCACATTCATCACGCACCATCAACAAAATAAATTAAAAATTAAATCCCAAACAACTTAACATTTGGAATAATAAATACCATAATATGATTCCTTTCTTGTAGACTTGTAGTCCACATTTATGCATTCAATGTAATTCATATGGTGACCCTCAAATAACTGCTGTGATTGTCCCCTCTACAACAGTTCCCTGAGCCAACAGAACAATACCAAGATAAGATCACACACACACATGCTGGGGGAAAAAAGTAGACCAAACCTTCTAAACCACCAATACCTTCATTTTGTCCTCAAGTTTTTCACACAGGACCCTATTCAGTTCTTGTACATCATGTTGCATGAATGATCTATGTTCCCATCCAAAGATTTTGTCAATTCCTTTGTAGCAACACTGGTGTCATTATATTGAAGCTTGTAGAATAAACTCTGCAAAGCCAAAGGAATGCTTCCTGTGGCGACGTCATTTTCAGTTGTTGGCATGTGTTATACAGCCTGAAATACATTTTGCAGATGAGGGATTTCACTAAATATAATAAAAGACAAAAAAAAAAAAAAAAAAAAAAAAAAAAAAAAAAAAAAAAAAAAAAAAAATCAGAGCAAGATTATGGCTAAAGATACGACTGCATCTTACCTTTCTAAGTAATGTATATGCTAGAGAGTCTGTAAGAGAGAGTTCATGTAACAAGTTGCTCCTTGGTTCTTAAGTCCCACATAACCAGTCTCCTTTTTTGAGTCATATGACCAATAATCCAGAACCTTACGAACAGCCACCTCAGCTTCTACAATTACCGTATCATTCACCAAATATCCTCTACTAGGGTCATAAAGATCACTAAGAGGCATAAAAGATGTGAAACCCCAATCACTCTCTCTTGCATTAAATTGGTGTTGCGTGTCTGCAAAATACAGAAAAAAATAAATAAAAACATAAATCAGTAAAAATTATATAAAAGTCCACACTCCACAACACACGCAATATATGATGAGAATAACTGAGATAGAAGCCATTATCTTTATCAACAAAACTATTTGTCTTAACTTATGCAGCAATAAATACCAGACTTCCTAAAATAGATAAACTCCAAATAACTTCTTTGACAAAAGCATTCAACACAATTAGCTGAAACATATATAGTTAGCTTCCAGAAATAGAGAAACCAAAACAATTTTATGAAATCTTGTATTGTTATTACCATTTCTATCCAACACTTTTGAAGTTGACCAGGTTGGCGAATTATTCATCACATTCAAAAAATCAGTTTGCAACCTACATGTAACCGGAGTATCAACACAAATTCATTGTGCGCATGAAGCTACTAACCATATTTAACGACTCTCAACTTCTCATCAAAATAAAACATTAAATGCCTCTACCTAATCATTCTCTAGATTGCAAAAATATGTTGCCACTAACAATCAAATTTGTTTAAACCTTTTAGCCTGGCATCCATACATAAGATAAAGAGAAAACTATTTTTCCTATACTTTTTGCACTGTATGGATGGACACGTAATTAGGCCTCAAATTCAAGAAGAAACACACAATCAACTGAATTAAATAACCTACCATCTAAACAAGTTTCTAGTTGATAACTTTAGTTTCTCCCACAGAGAACAAACTGTGGAATGCTCACTTTAGTGGAAGGCATCAATACCAATCTTTGAGTACTAAAGAGTGGCAAATGATCATGATAATAATGCAAAAATCATAAACTTCATCAAACAAAAAACCATTGCCATCAACTACACATGACAGAAACATATACATTTACAGTAAAACTCCAACAAAAAAATATAGTTAAGAAAATACCCTTTCTGATTGAGTATTTGCTATGGACTTGATTAACCACAGCCAAACTGAACTGCGCATATCTACTCCATCCATATGGCAACGTTGAAGAATCCGCAACATCCAAATACATAGACAAGTGGTCCACATTGTTTCCTTTTGGAAAAATAAGTATCCGCCTGCCCGAACCAACCCAAACCACATTAAAGTCACGTTGCAATTAATAAACTATTCAATAACTAAACTACATTATCCCATCATTAAATTACCATTTGTAACCACCAACGACGAATACATCCGAATAATGCTTCTTAGTGTTCAATCTAGTGAAATTTTCAATAGTCCATGTAAATTTCATCGATGGAGGATCCTCCACTTGCTGATTCTCCACACTACTAGCTTGCTCCACTTGTGCCACCACTAACCAATCAACAGTAACTCCAGATCAAAATCAATCCAAAACACAGACATAATTAAACAAACTTAATTTATCACATATTAAACCTTCCATTGGCTGAGGTCCCTCCACTATATCCGAATGCGGCACGAGCATCTCCTCCTCTTCTTGCTACAAAATCAAAACCCTAGATATCAATCATCACTGGTTCACAAACCTAATTTCCTCAAAATTCAACTCAATTTGAACCAAAATAAACCCTAGCGAATCACGAAATCATCTCAAACAGCAGAAATGATATAAAATATATATTCAAATTCGATACATATTCAAGTGCAGATATAGAAACAGAAAAATGCTTACATCTAACGGTGGAGGAGTCATCATAGTCATGAGTGGAAAGATGTGAACCGTCAGATCGCGAAATCTGAAAGTCGAATAAATAAACAAATAAAAAGAGAAAGTGAAAATTACAGAGAATAGCACTAACACAACACTCCCCAGGTCATGACCATGACCATGACCATGACCATGTGACTACTCCACATCATTCTCATTAGAAATAAAAGCACTAGCTAGCAGTCCTTTTAGTGCAGATTCATCACATAGATCAGACAGTAAGAAAAATTTGTATGCATAGAAGCTTTTGGATCTCTTGTCAATCAACTCAATGTTTCATATTTAAGATAGTCAGTTTACATATGTGAATTACAAATGCAAAGGATTTGGGTTAACATGCAACCTGAGATACAAATCATTCAGAAATAAGAATTTTTAAAACAAACCTTCACCATAGCGTCCCGCATAAAATCATATTCAAACCGCTTCAGTTGAAGTTGAAGCACAGGAGGGAAGTCAATAAACAATACACCTTCTTAGCATCCTGAATAAACAAAATTTCAACCACATGCATTTAGAAGCAGCTTCAAAATTGCCACTTGTTGCCTAAAAACTTTCACAAAAATGCTATAGCTAATTGCCAGGAGTGAAGATGCTAACAAGTATCACAGAAATGCACAGGTGGAACCAACCAATTAAATCCCATATAGAAGTAATATATTTTTCTTTTTTTGGAAACACTAGAAGTATGGAAATTTTACATAGGAGCTAAAGAAAAATGCAATTCCTCTTTAGTTGTTTCCAGAATTGATCTCTTAACCAAGCAAATCAGAGCTTCTGCTCATCAGCAGAAGCGATGTTGGACCCTGTTAAAAATTTTCATAAATTATGAAATTGCCAGCCAACCCAATTTCATCAAAAATAGTGGGTATTTTTTTTGCTAGGAAAAGCATTTTTTAGAACTGGCAGTAATAAGCACTTTCACAACCTCTGGTCCCTTTCTCTCTTTAAAACTTTGAACAAAGAAATTTTGGGACAATCTTCACTTCCATTTCTTTGGCTCATTATTTTTTTCTCTCAAAGAGCCCAAACAAAATGATTAACAAAGAATTTCTCTCTATCTCAGATACAATTTGAGGTTAGGGTCTTGTTTCATATTTTAATTGTGATTGAAGTGTTTCTTTCACCTTTTGTTCATAAGTTGAGCCTCATTTAGCATTTGATACGACAGTGACTAAAGCACAAAATTCTATTTTCCAGCAATAACAATTGATATATCATGGTGGATCATATTGGCGTTTGTGAGTTGGGGTAAACTTAATGAGAATCATCCTTCCAATTCACCAAAACACCAATATGTGAATTTGAATATCAATCAAAATGCTAAAAGAACCAACCTTAGTAAAAAGCATATGAGAAGTCGTACTAGAATGAAACAGTCAACTGGTATTTATTATCTACACTATTGAAAACACTAAATCTAGTGCCAGGGAGAGGTATGACAAACCAACAATACCTGATTTTAAATCTTGTATAAATTGGCTGCACATATAAATGGCAGTTCAAAAATAAGAATTAATGAGGTCGACTAGCATAGCACACTTAGTATTCACAAAAGCGCTAGGTGTTTATTATAAAGTCTAAAGCATGGGTGATTTAACCATATACCAACGGGCTGAGGCAGAATCAATATCTCGTCCCAACCAACTCGCACCAACTAACCTGCAACACATGTTCTCAGCATGGTATTTTTATCACCCTCTAGCGTCAACTTCCACATACTTGTCAAAAGAAGCATAGACATCCGACACCTTTGACATCAAGCTGGAGATCTGCCACATAAAAAGCACATTCATCACGCACCATCAACAAAAATAAATTAAAAATTAAATCCCAAACAACTTAAACATTTGGAATAAATAAATACCATAATATGATTCCTTTCTTGTAGACTTGTAGTCCACATTTATGCATTCATGTAATTCATATGGTGACCCTCAAATAACTGCTGTATTGTCCCTCTACAACGTTCCCTGAGCCAACAGAACAATAACCAAGATAAGATAACACACACACATGCTGGGGGAAAAAAGAAGACCAAAACCTTCTAAACCACCATACCTTCATTTTGTCCTCAAGTTTTTCACACAGGACCCTATTCAGTTCTTGTCATCAGTTGCATGAATGAATCAATGTGTCCCATCCAAAAGATTTTGTCAATTCCTTGTAGCAACACTGGTGTCATTATATTGAAGCTTTAGAATAAACTCTGCAAGCCAAGGAATGCTTCCTGTGGGCACGTCATTTCAGTTGTTGATGTGGTACAGCCGAAATACATTTTGCAGATGAGGGATTTCACTAAAATATAAATAGAATACAAAAAAAAAAAAAAAAAAAAAACATCAGAGCAAGATTATGGCTAAGATACAAGATGCATCTTTACCTTTCTGAAGTAAGGTTATATGGCAAATAGTAAAGTGGTAATGGTAATGCCCTCCTCTAAGAGAATTCATTAAATAAAAATACAAACTATTTCCAAACTTCTCAAAAACACAGTATATAACATTACAAAATACAGAAGGCATTTAAAAAAAAAAAAAAAAAAGTACATAGATCTCATTACGATATAATATTTGTATCAGGTCTTCTACAAAAATTCCATGGCCAGCAAAAAACAAAAGGGCATTATACAGCAGAATAGTTGTCACAATCCCCCTAAGTCTTACCTTTAATGTTACAAGGGAAAATTTTAATCTAATAGAGAACAGATAATCATTCAACACAATGATAAAAAATAACTAAATAATATCTAAGAAGCTGCAGAAGTACAAACTACTTACAGTTTGTGATTCCTCTTGGGCTAGCAAAGGTCGATTGGGACGATATGTATGGTTTTGCCGCTTTGCCCAAATCCAAAAACGCTGAAATTGTACGGGTATACCAAATTCTTTGGCAACTTCCTCCTGTGAACCAAATCAAAATTAGATGCTTAAAGATTGTAGGGTATATTATGAAATTCTGGCAATTAACTAAACCACTGCAGATTTAGTCATGCTGAATCTGTTAAACTAATAACTTTGTCACCCAACCATAAATATCAAACTTTTTCAGATCACTAGAAAACAAGAAAATAAACACTACCTTAAAAGCAGTAAATGGCGTCTGCTTCTGGATACGGAAACTACGAACTTTATCATGATCCACAAGGTCAAAATATATATCCCTTCCAGTCTGCTCTGCAAGGTCCTCATCCCGTGCAACCTAGATCACCAGTGAGTTGCTTACGCCATTACTTTCACTTGCGCACTCTATGCCAGTCATAACTAGATGATAAACCACAAAAGGGGAAAAAAAGAATAACCTTAATGATAGTATAAAGGTGGGCCTGTGCTTTATATCTTCTCTTGTCCTCCTTTTCTTCCTGCTCTTTCTTTAACCTTATCTGGATTAAGATGTTGAATGTGTCAGGAAAGTTTCCAAAAAACCACAAACTTGGAACACACATAAATCAGCAGTCTACACCCACTAAAAAGAAGAAATTACCCTCAAGTGTTCCGCAATGTCCTTTTCATCGACATCACATATTATTTTATCCTTATCACTTTCACGTATATACACAAGCATGTATGCATTTGAGTATTTTGTGAACTTAAAAGGAGTATTATTGAAGCCAGGATTGGTCTGCGGCAACTGTCGGACACAACAGACCAAGGCAACAAGGTCAGTTCATAATTAAGTCACATATAAGAAAGTAAACATAGGAAAGGAATAATCTAAGAAATCATCAGTCACCTCTTCCTCACCACCGTACTGCTCTTCCAAAGCTCTCTTCACATCTTCTTTAGTGACCCGTTCATCATCAAATTTGTACCTAAGAAACCAATAAAGTTATTTTAACATATAAAACAAATCCTGATTAACCAACATTTTGCTTTTAATAACATGAAGAATCTGTACATAGAAATTACCAACAGTCCAACTTATCATATATAGAGCAATCTTTTATGATTAAAAATAAGTAGTTAATCTAAAGAAACTTGATATTAGAACTTTTATGATTATCTTTAAAAAAAATTAAAAGAAAATGATGCTCCCTAAAATTATTCCTAGTCAATCCTGGAAATGTTAATTTAAAGAGTCAAAAGTAAAGATTATGTACTTGCACCATCTTATGCAATTGCAAAATTAGAGTCAGAGAAAGAGAGGGACACACACAAACAAATAAAATTAGTTTAGAACCTACAGACAAGTTAATGCATACCATTGATCAGATAGAGTTGGCCTGATAAAAGCATAATAATGTCCACCATGAACACCTCCACTATGAACCAAGACACTGTAAGAGAACAAAATTACAAGAATTCATCTCATTAAGCATTATTCCATATACGTCAAATGAGGACAATTAAACATGAGAACCCTCTTCTTCTACTTCTGCTCAAGGAGATAGATATACGCTTCAGGTGACTAGTACCTATGGAGGGTGTAAAGATTGCGAACGCTCCTATCTGCATCAGGCGATAGATACTTTCCATTCTCTCTATCAAGATCAAGTTGAAGAGGAAACTCATAGCGGTCATTTATCTACCAAAAAAGAAAAACAACAACAACAAAAATTAGTATTATAAGTAGTTTCCTTGAATTATACACATTTGTTCATCTGAACTCAATAATATGATGAATTCACACACGAAGTTCAACCTAAAATGAGCAATAAATACATCAATATGCAAAAAGGACATAAATCAACACATGGACAAATTAGGGCATAAATTAATATTGGCAAAAGGAGAATTGTAGAACAAATAACCTTCCTGAAACTAGGGCATCTTATAAAAGTGAAAGGTCATAACTATGAATCCCCATCCAAGAAGAAATGGAATAATCAAGAAAAATAAATTAAGTTCCTGTTCATGACCATGACCATGACCATGACCATGTGAGACTACTCCACATCATTCTCATTAGAAATAAAAGCACTAGCTAGCAGTCCTTTTAGTGCAGATTCATCACATAGATCAGACAGTAAGAAAAATTTGTATGCATAGAAGCTTCTTGTGATCTCTTGTCAATCAACATCAATGTTTCATATTTAAGATAGTCAGTTTACATATGTGAATTACAAATGCAAAGGATTTGGGTTAACATGCAACCTGATGATACAAATCATTCAGCAAATAAGCCAATTTTTAAAACAAACCTTCACCATAGCATCCCGCATAAAATCATATTCAAACCGCTTCAGTTGAAGTTGAAGCACAGGAGGGAAGTCAATAAACAATACACCCTTCTTAGCATCCTGAAATAAACAAAATTTCAACCACATGCATTTAGAAGCAGCTTCAAAATTGCCACTTGTTGCCTAGAAAACTTTCACAAAAATGCTATAGCTAATTTGCCAGGAGTGAAGATGCTAAACAAGTATCACAGAAATGCACAGGTAGAACCAACCAATTAAATCCCATAGTAGAAGTATATATATTTTTCTTTTTTTGGCAAACACTAGAAGTATGGAAATTTTACATAGTAGCTAAAGAAAAATGCAATTCCTCTTTCAGTTTGTTTCCAGAATTGATCTCTTAACCAAGCAAATCAGAGCTTCTGCTCATCAGCAGAAGCGATGTTGGACCCTGTTAAAAATTTTCATATAATTATGAAATTGCCAGCCAACCCAATTTCATCAAAAATAGTGCGTATTTTTTTTTTTTTTTTTTTTTTTTGCTAGGAAAAGCATTTTTTAGAACTGGCCAGTCAATAAGCACTTTCACACCTCTGGTCCCTTTCTCTCTTTAAAACTTTGAAAGCAAAGAAATTTTGTGGACAATCTTCACTTCCATTTCTTTGGCTCATTATTTTTTTCTCTCAAAGAGCCCAAACAAAATGATTAACAAAGAATTTCTCTCTATCTCAGATAACAATTTGAGGTTAGGGTCTTGTTTCATATTTTAATTGTGATTGAAGTGTTTCTTTCACCTTTTGTTCATAAGTTGAGCCTCACTTTTAGCATTTGATACGACAGTGACTAAAGCACAAAATTCTATTTTCCAGCAATTAACAATTGATGATATCATGGTGGATCATATTGGCGTTTTGGTGAGTTGGGGTAAACTTAATGAGAATATCATCCTTCCAATTCACCAAAACACCAATATGTGAATTTGAATATCAATCAAAATGCTAAAAGAACCAACCTTAGTAAAAAAGCATATGAGAAGTCATACTAGAATGAAACAGTCAACTGGTATTTATTATCTACACTATTGAAAACACTAAATCTAGTGACTAGGGAGAAGGTATGACAAACCAACAATTACTGCATTTTAAATCTTGTATAAATTGGCTGCACATATAAATGGCAGTTCAAAAATAAGAATTAATGAGTCGACTAGCATAGCACACTTAAGTATTCACAAAAAGCGCTCAGGTGTTTATTATAAAGTCTAAAGCATGGGTGATTTAACCATATACCAACGAGGCTGAGGCAGAACTCAATATCTCGTCCCAACCAACTCGCACCAACTAACCTGCAAACCATGTTCTTCAGCATGGTATTTATTATCACCCTCTAGACGTTCAACTTCCACATACTTGTCAAAAGAAGCATAGACATCCCGACAGCCTTTGACATCAAGCTGGAGATCTGCCACATAAAAAGCACATTCATCACGCACCATCAACAAAAATAAATTAAAAATTAAATCCCAAACAACTTAAACATTTGTGAATAAATAAATACCATAATATGATTCCTTTCTTGTAGACTTGTAGTCCACATTTATGCATTCAATGTAATTCATATGGTGACCCTCAAATAACTGCTGTATTGTCCCCTCTACAACAGTTCCCTGAGCCAACAGAACAATAACCAAGATAAGATAACACACACACATGCTGGGGGAAAAAAGTAGACCAAAACCTTCTAAACCACCAATACCTTCATTTTGTCCTCAAGTTTTTCACACAGGACCCTATTCAGTTCTTGTACATCATGTTGCATGAATGAATCATATGTGTCCCATCCAAAAGATTTTGTCAATTCCTTTGTAGCAACACTGGTGTCATTATATTGAAGCTTGTAGAATAAACTCTGCAAAGCCAAAGGAATGCTTCCTGTGGGCACGTCATTTTCAGTTGTTGGCATGTGTTATACAGCCTGAAATACATTTTGCAGATGAGGGATTTCACTAAATATAATAAAAGAAAAAAACAAAAAAAAAAAAAAAAAAAAAAAAAAAAAAAACAAAAAATCAGAGCAAGATTATGGCTAAAGATACGACTGCATCTTTACCTTTCTGAAGTAAGTATATGTAGAGAGTCTGTAAGAGAGAGTTCATGTAACAAGTTGCTCCTTGGTTCTTAAGTCCACATAACCAGTCTCCTTTTTTGAGTCATATGACCAATAATCCAGAACCTTACGAACAGCCACCTCAGCTTCTACAATTACCGTATCATTCACCAAATATCCTCTACTAGGGTCATAAAGATCACTAAAGGCATAAAAGATGTGAAACCCCAATCACTCTCTCTTGCATTAAATTGGTGTTGGTGTCTCCAAAATACAGAAAAAAATAAATAAACATAAATCAGTAAAAATTATATAAAAGTCCACACTCCCAACAACCAATATATGATGAGAATAACTGAGATAGAAGCCATTATCTTTATCAAACAAACTATTTGTCTTAACTTAGCAGCAATAAATACCAGACTTCCTAAAATAGATAAACTCCAATAACTTCTTTGACAAAAGCATTCAACCACATTAGCTGAAACTATATAGTTAGCTTCCAGAAATAGAGAAACCAAAACAATTTTATGAAATCTTGTATTGTTATTCCATTTCTATCCAACACTTTTGAAGTTGACCAGGTTGGCGAATTATTCATCACATTCAAAAAATCAGTTTTGCAACCTACATGTAACCGGAGTACAACACAAATTCATTGGGCGCATGAAGCTACTAACCATATTTGACTCTCAACTTCTCATCAAAGTAAACATAAATGCCTCTACCTAATCATTCTCTAGATTGCAAAAATATGTGCCACTAACATCAAATTTGTTTAAACCTTTAGCCTGGCATCCTACATAAGATAAAGAAAACTATTTTTCCTATACTTTTTGCACTGTATGGAGGACACTAATTAGGCCTCAAATTCAAAGAAGACACACACATCAACTAATTAATAACCACCATCTAAACAAGTTTCTAGTTGTAACTTTAGTTTCTCCCACAGAGAACAACTGTGGAATGCTCACTTTAGTGGAAGCATCAATACCAATCTTTGAGTACTAAAGAGTGGCAAATGATCATGATATAATGCAAAATCATAAACTTCTCAACAAAAACCATTGCCATCAACTACACATGAACAGAACATATACATTTACAGTAAAACTCCAACAAAAAATATAGTTAAGAAATACCCTTCTGATTGAGTTTTATGCTATGGACTTGATTAACCACAGCCAAACTGAACTGCGCATATCTACTCCATCCATATGGCAACGTTGAAGAATCCGCAACATCCAAATACATAGACAAGTGGTCCACTTGTTTCCTTTTGGAAAAATAAGTATCCGCCTGCCCGACCAACCCAAACCACATTAAAGCCACGTTTGCAATTAATAAACTATTCAAACTAAACTACATTATCCCATCATTAAATTACCATTTGTAACCACCAACACGAATACATCCGAATAATGCTTCTTAGTGTTCAATCTAGTGAAATTTTCAATAGTCCTGAAATTTCATCGATGGAGGATCCTCCACTTGCTGATTCTCCACACTACTACTTGCTCCACTTGTGCCACCACTAACCATCAACGTAACTCCAGATCAAAATCAATCCAACACACACATAATTAAACAAACTTAATTTATCACATATTAACCTCCATTGGCTGCCTCCACTATATCCGAATGCGGCACGAGCATCTCCTCCTCTTCTTGCTACAAAATCAAAACCCTAGATATCAATCCACTGGTTCACAAACCTAATTTCCTCAAAATTCACATCAATTTGAACCAAAATAAACCCTAGCGAATCACGAAATCAGCTCAAACAGCAGAAGATAAAAATATTATTCAAATTCGATACATATTCAAGTGCAGATATAGAAACAGAAAAATGCTTACATCTAACGTGGAGGAGTCATCATGGTCATGAGTGGAACGATGTGAACCGTCAGATCGCGAAATCTGAAAGTCGAATAAATAACAAAATAAAAGAGAAAGTGAAAATTACAGAGAATAGCACTAACACAACACTCCCGAAAGAATTGTCAGGAGAAGAAAGAAGAAGAAGAAGAGAGAGAAAGCGAGAGATTTATTACGAAGGATTAAACTCGTATTTTTTAAAGCTCGAGGGTTGTTTGGGACCGAATTGGACCGATTAGCAAATGGGAATGCGCCACGTAAAACTGTGAGGTAGGTTGGAGCACGAGGTCTTGACGTGCGGCTCCTCGGAGTCACGTGCGTGACACATCCTGTTCTTTTCCTAGTACGAACTCAGTTACCTTTTATTTTTATTTTTTTAATTTGATTCTTTTTTATATTTTTTTATTTTTAGATTATTTATTTAGGGATCGTTTGTCTAATATATATATATATAATTTTTTTGGTTTGATCAAAGTTTTAATTCTATGTTTATCAAATTATGTCTAATTAAATAGATTGTTGATTTATAACAAACTTTTATCTGTATTTTAATATACTATTAGTTTAAAATAAATACAAATTTAATAAAATTTATAAAATTTAACGATTTCTAATAAAGTTTGAAATGATCTATTTCATGTTTTAAAATTTAAACACTAAATACAAAATCAATATTAATTTTAATCTAATATTCTAATGATTGTTTAAACTTTTAACAGTTTTTTTTTTTTTTTAAAAATAATTAATATATAGATGGGTATCAATAGCTCACTATTTTTGTATACATATTTAATCTATAATTAATTAATATAAAACGATTATTTATATTCTTATATCTTAAAAAATAAGTTGTTTAATTATTTATCACAAGAGTCTTCTATCTTTAGATATTACACTTTAATTAATATTTACCTAGTTATAATATTATTTTCCTTTTATGGCATTGCTCGTCTAGCACGCATTTTGGGTTCCATTTCCAATGATGTATAATAATATAAAAAGATTTTTTTTATTAAAATGAAAAGTAATAATTTGTAGTTATATTGTTTACAAGAGATTAAAAAATAAGATTTAGTAATCAATAATTATTTAAAGATAAAACATAATGTTTTTTTTAACTAAAAATGGTTAAGATGAATTCAGGATAGAATAGATAGACGTATAGTCTCATGTTTGATTTTTTTATTTGGGCATATGCGATTTAAGTGGAAGACGTATATAACATAAACAATATTAAAAGAAAAAAAAATTAGAGTAAGAAAATAAAAATTTTAATGGATAATATCCAATCTTGGCCCAGCCAGGCCCATTTGAAAAAGGTTCTGGCTTTTTTTTTTTTAATTAAAATCTGCTCATTTAGAGCAATAAAATGAGTTTTATATTATTAAAACATGATTAATAATTTTTTAAATATTGAGATTTCCAGATTTATAATTCTTTGAATAAATTTTGATAAACATAAAGACTTTTTTTTTTTTTAAATCAAATGTAGATACAACTTTATTCCACTCTTTTTGACAAACACATACATCCTTTTTCTTTTTCCTTTTTTTTTTTTTTAGTTAACAAGGTGGAAAAGTTAGGTAAAGAATAACTTACGTTCATATATTAAATTAACAATATTCTTTTTATTATTATAATAATATGAGAAATGATATCTACATAAAACACAAAAAGATGATCTATATTAATAATTTAATAATATGCACCCTTTGATGCGTTTGATTACAGAAATTAAATTAATTAAAAAAATTTACTTTCTCTAATAATATTATTCTTCATTTTTCCTGATCCCAACTTTTTCTCTTGTCTAGCGTGCCCCGCTCCATCTCTCTAATCCTTATTTTCTCTAATAATATATTGAAATTGATGCAATCATTTAATTTTGTGTTTAGTCTATTTATGATGAAAGATTTACTTAATTTTACAAATGAACTTTCTCAAGCACTACAAAGAAAAGATTAAGATATTATAAATGCTATAAATTTAGTTGAAGTGTGTAAACAAGCTTTACAATTAATGAGGAATACTAGATGAGAAAATTTACTTAACAAAGTTTGTTCTTTTGGTACCAAACATGACATTGATATTTCAAATAAGGATGACAATTTTTTTATTCAAGGGCAATCACAACAGAAGACTAAAGGTATCACAAACATGCATCATTACCGTATTGAAGTATTTTATAGTATCCTAGATATGCAGCTTCAAGAGTTGAATAATCGTTTCAATGAAGTAAATACTGAATTACTTATTTGTTTGGCATGCTTACGTCCATATGAAAATTTTGTTGCTTTTGGTAAGCAAAAATTGATGTGTCTTGCTTAACTTTGTTCAGAAGATTTTTCTAACTTAGAACTCATAGCACTTGATTCTCAATTTGATATTTACATTTTGGATGTATGCTCTGATGTTAAATTTATGGAATTGAATGAGATTAGAGATCTTGCAAGAGTGATAGTTGAAACTACGAGGGATAAAGTGTTTCTATTAGTTTATCTGTTGATAAAATTAGCATTGATTTTACCAGTTGCCACTGCTAGTAAAGAAAGAGCATTTTCAACAATGAATTTGTGAAGAATTGTTTGTGAAATAGAATGAACGATTAATAGTTGAATGATAGTTTTGTTGTGTATATAAAGAAATATGTATTTGATAGTATTGATAATGAAGTCATTATACAATATTTTTTAAAGGTGAAATCTCGTCGAGGACAATTGTAAATATATTAGTTAATGAGAATTTTATTAATACAAATATTTATATTTATTTTTATTTTTATTTATGTTAATTATTACTTTAACCTTTGACCCCCTTAAGTTTCATTCTTGGGTCCGCCCTGCTTGTACCTTAGCCTCTTTCTTAACTTATATCTAATCAGTTATATCACAAGTCAATATTTTTATACTACGTTTAAATCTAGTTAATAGTTATTAAATTCAATATTTCACACGGCAAACATACATTAACTTATGATACCGTTGATATGAAAAAAAAAAAAAAAAAAAACATCTAGGATGCCATAAAAATATCATGTCATCATCCTTAGCACAACTCAATGAATTAGTGTCACATTAATGGTACCATAGATTTTTTCGTTATAATACCATTACATTTTTACTATCTACTAACTACAAATGCAATCAAACACTTTTTATCTTTACAAAACCAAACATTTTTCTATTGTACTAACTACAAATGCAATCAAACACTTTTTATTTTTATAAAACCAAACGTTTAAATCAATTTTTATATTTGTTTAATTTGTGATATAGTTATTACAATAACACATATGGCATCAAATATTTTCTTGTTTGTA